TCCTGGGAGAAGGCATAAATGATTCATAAAAAAAATTCCATCAATCCAACATCACCAACTTGTGCAACTAATAAAAGTCTCCCAAGTGTGCAGCAGGCAGAGATCAAAGCCAAAGGTGGAATGTCAGCCATCTGAATCTTTGTCCAGCAACTGTGCCAGTTTATGGCTTTTGCTGTTCCCATCAGATATGGCTGTGCCACAGAGTGCAGGTCTGTTCCCTCAGCACAACCACAGCACACCGTCCATAAGGATTTACTTTGGCTGTTGTGTGTCAGCACAGAACTTATGCCTTGCATGACTGTGTGAGACCCCAGCACCGACCCTCTACCTTCTGGTTCTTGGTTTAACTTTACAAAGCACTACCTTGTTAAGGACAGGAGTGGTTCAGTTTTCTGCTTACTCTCTGACCCTTTATGTAGCAAGGTCGCCTGTCTTGACTTTGTTGGACAAACTGGAACAAAACGACAGCAGCAGGAGCTGGGTGTGGTGCGTGCTGCACACTTTTAGTCCCAGCACCCGGGAGGCACATGCAAGTGAAACTCTGAGTTTGGGGCCAGCCTGATGTATAGAACGAGTTCCGGGATAGCTAGAGCTACACAGAGAAACATTGTCTCAAAACAACAGCCCCACCCCACAAAAGACAGCGGCAGGAACATTGTGAACAGCCCCTTTAAAAGAGCAAGACAGCTATGGGGGAGACGACAGCTGGGGGGCACGGATGAAACACTGGCAGTCCTCACTGGATGAACAATTAGGAAGGAAGCAAATAAATTTGTTACTCAAGGTCTACACAGCATGGGTAGATAGAGTCCTGGAAAATGTATTAAGTACTTGTTGTGGGCTGGAATGATGGCTCAGGAGCTAAGAGCATTGACTGCACTTCCAGAGGATTAGGGTTCATTTCCCAGCACCCACATGGCAACTCACCATTGCCTAACTCCAGTCCCAGGAGATCGGATGCCTCTTCTGGCCTCTCTGGGTACTTGCATTCATGTGGTGGGATAAATATTTCCCCCACATATACATGCAATCGATATTTGTTTACTTACAAAGAGCAGTTAAAAAAACAGAAAGCAATGGCCGTCACTGTTCTGACCTAATATCTACCAACTGCTGAGCTTCTACAGCTACTAATTCTGGGGTGAGCAGATTCCGGGCTGTTTTCCTGCTTTTCACATCAGCGGCTGGGATTCTGCACCCCAGTATCGCAGGAACCCACACAGGTGGCTGTACTCACACAGAGCCTGTGTTTAAGGCTTCACCTTACCAGGGTTTCAGTCAGATTCCCCAGAGGCTCTGAAGTCATTTTGCTTAAAAAATCCCCCTTAACTTTCTCAGGGTCCTTACAAGAACACCCCACATCCATCCCAGAGCCCTGCCACTGTCCCCATGCTGCCCTAACAAGACAAGATTCAGGGCAGAGAGAACCAGTCCTATCTCTGGCACTAGAATTGGTTTGTTGTGTGATATTTTGATTCCATTCTGAAAGTAAAGCTTGCTTTGAGTCAGAGGGAGGAGCTAGCCACTAGCTGACCAAGATTAATCATAGAGGTTTGGAGGACAGTGGACTGGCAATTATAAGGTGGGACTGAGAGAGGATCTCAGCCCTTTTGGAGGGAGGAACAGAAGAGGTAGGAGGCCACTAGTGGCTTTTTGGCAGCTTCTCTGACCATACAGGTTCTTACCTCAATTGACTCCCAATTTCTTTTATTGATGAAGAGTAATTAGTTAACCGCTTCATTGACTAGAGACTGAGTCTACACTGAAGATGCTGGGATCACCAGGCTCTAAGGAAAAGGATCCTTAGCAGAAAGCCCCAAACTCCCAGTTGAGAGCATTCTACCTAGGCAGGCCTGCCTTTGGGGATTTCTGGGCCGATACTGGACACAACCATAGGAAATCCAGAGCAAGCCATTATTGCAAGGAGGGGCAGCTTGTTCGTCCCGGCCACCCAGCTAGCTTAGCCCCGAAATAACTGCACAGACACTGTATTAATTAAATCACTGCTTGGCCCATTAGCTCTAACTTCTTATTGGCTAACTCTTACATCTTAGTTTAACCCATTTCTATTAATCTGTGTATCACCACGAGGTTGTGGCCTACCATAAAAGTTTTAGCATATCTATCTCTGGTCGTGGACCCATGGCGTCCCCTCTTGACTCTGTTTCTTCCTCCCAGAATTCAGTTCTGTCTTCCCCGCCTACCTAAATTCTGCCCTATCAACTAGGCCAAGGCAGTTTCTTTATTAACCAATGAAAGCAACACAAATACAGAAGGATCTCCTACACCAAACCATAATGATGTGAGTCTCACGTGGTAGCATATCTAGCTTCTGGGGCTTGCGGGTCAGCAGCAGCAGTCTCTGCCCTGACAGAGGTCCCGTGGTCTCCATGAGATCTCTGAGTCCTCCTCACCCGCAGACTGCTGACACCAAGTGTGGAAGCTGAAACTGCTGCCCTAGTCCTCTCCGGACACTGTACGGCTGTACCTCTCACAGTTCCCGGTCCAGGTGTCCCTCACGATCACTCTGCACCACTGGTCATTCTCCACTGTCACCCTGGTCATTCTGGGTTTCCTGGTGCTTCCTGCCCCAACCTGGCCTTGGGAGAAGTGTCCCCATGGCTGAAGGTCCCCTCTTATGTGTCAAGGACCCTGCAGCAGATCTGAGGAAAGCTTAGACCCATGAAATCTGCAGACTGGAGCAGGATGCAGAGATGGCAGCATTGAACCCAGGAATCCAGGCTAGATGCAAGCAAGCACTTCTCAAAGCAAGAGATTCAACACTTAGCTACTGTCGAGCTTCTAAGAAGCCTGCCAAACCTCTTGGCCCTCAAGAATGTTCACATTCGCTGCTTTCCTAGGTCACAGTATTTACCACAAGCTTCAAAAGCCCGAGCCAATGCTGTGTGATCTGTTGTTTAAGGTACGTACAAGGAATCCATTAGTAAGATATCATACCTGTATTTTCCTCATCAATATTTGGTGGCAATAAGTTAGCCTGAGGACAGGAAAGGAATAAAAGCCAGACTGTTAGAGGACTTACATTTGATCAGACTAAGGGCAAGTCTAAGAGGACACTGCGTGTATTGGCAATCAGAGGGGCCCAGGGCTTCCCTGTCTCTTGGAGTTGGGAGGGCAGAGAAGTAGAAGCAGAGAAACAGTCATGTGTCCTGTGCAGATTCCAGCCCGTTTCCCTGCTCTTCCCATCAAATTTGTAAGAGCAGGCGCAGGCACCCAAAGGGTGTTCTTTTATCTTTACGATCCAAGTCCACAGAAATGAAGTCCCGGGGCAGAGGTGGTAAAATATTCAGCTTCGGGGCCCAGGTCCCCTCTTGGAAACATCCCAGTGTGGCTGGCTGGCTAGTGGCCAGCTGACTCTTTCCTCCCAGGGCCGAGAGGATCGACCTATGAGTCCTCAGGCTTGCCCAGGTGCACACTGTTTTCTAGGGAAGCTCAAAGTCCCCCACAGACTCAACGTTCTTTTTCAGTAAGAGGTGATATAAAAGCCACCCAAAGCCTTTGGAGTGAAGCTGTCGGCAGATCTGCACCCATGCTGTGTAGTAACTGCAGGGGCACAATGATCCAGCTCTGGCCATGCCATGTAGCCAGGCTCCCCAAGTGGTTCCCAGTTAACCCCTCTCTTACCTACATGTGGTCCACATGACTTTGTCTATGTCCTCTGGTTCTTTCCATACAGCTGGCATGGTCTTCTTCCTTGTTACTGCACAGCCCCTTCGTCACCAGCGCTGAGAGCCCTCGGTCTTATGTAGAGAATTATGTGTGTACAGGCACACGGGGTGCAGGCACACGGGGTGCAGGCACACCCTAACAAAGCCTGTCCATTCACAGGAAAGAGCCTCTCAGTATGGATATACTACAGAGTGGCTGGTGACTGTCTCGCTTCAGATCTACTGGTAAGATGATGAAGGGCAGGTAGGAGTGGTCTGTGGTGGTGGAGAAACAGCCCAATGATGTTTAAATAACAGAACATATCAATAAATAAAAGCAGAAAAGCACATTAGACTCGGGGAGGGGACTGACTTGCCCTGGGGTGAATTTGTGGCACATGGATCTCTGTCTTTGGTTTGGACACATCTTCCCTAGGCTATGGAGGTGCACGCCTTTAATCCCAGCACTCAGGAGGCAGAGGCAGGTGGATCTCTGTGAGTTTGCGGCCAGCCTGATCTACAGAGAAAGTTCTAGGACAGCCAGAGCTGTTAGACAGAGAAACCCTGTCTTTGAAACTGTAGCTGTACTCCTACAGTCTTGAGAGCAGCTTGATTGTCAGCACCAGCCAAGCTCGGCCTGCTGACATCACAGAACAGGAGGGGTCCCAAGTGTCCACCTCCCCAGGATATAAAGACAGTCAATGGTTGCTGGGGGACAAGAGACGGTCTTTTCCTGTGGTAGCTGCTGCTGTTGAGGCTCCCCGGTGCCTGTAAATGAACCTGAGCAAACATGCCAGGCCCCTAAAGAGAGAATGCGAGTGTGTGGTGGGGGAAAAAAAAATGTTGCTGCTATTGATAACACGGAGAACCAAAGGGAGGACTTTTCCTGGTTTTTAATGGAGATTGTGGTGTTTTCTCCCCTTTTGTGCTAGTGATCGAATGTTTGTGTCCCCATTCAGTAGTGAGCTTTAAGACAGAATCAGCAAAAGACAGCGAATGGAGGTTAGCGGAGCAGACAGAGCTGCACGTGGAGGGCTGAGTGCAGAGAGAGCGGGGTCCAGGTAACCGTGAATGAAGTACAGGCGAACCCTTGCTTTCTAACTTCCTTTGACACCATAAAGCCCCGAGGCACCTACCAAGCACCCTTAGGCGAGTTCAGCCTGGAGGTAGAGTCTAGCGTGAGTGAGAAGCTGATAGTCATTGTGGGGCCTGAAAGATGACGGACAGGCCATCTTTGCTTCTGAGGTTCAGATCCACTAGCAAAGGGGTTATTGCAAAAGGCTTATTGGTGGACTCTAACCAGAGAACTTGAGAGACTGAGGCCAGACAGAGTTCTTACTTTACCATGTTTTATATAAAATAGACATTTACATAAATTTTGTTTTTGAAAGACTTAGGCAAAGTATACAGTCAGACTTCAACAGAGAAGTGTTTTAAGCAGCAAGAATAACACAGGCATACATTTAATACAACCAACCAAAACAGAACATCGAGCAGTAGGAACAAAGACCAAAGTCCTGACAGCAAACACAGCGACTTCCACATGTCCCTGGCTTCTGCAGACACCTCAGTTCCCCAGGAAAAGGTGTCATCTTTTCTCCCAGGAAGGTGACAGGGTGACCTTACGAACTTTAAGCACACCTGGAAGACTTAGTATTGTCACGTTAGCACACTTGGGCAGCCTAGTCTTCCCAGGGTCGCTGGTCTGTGTTTTGTTGTGTTTGTTAGTAAGAATCGTCAGGAATAAGATCATTATCTTCACAGATGTGAGTGCTTCTGAATGCATTTTGGAGGCTCACGGTATTCTGAGAACCCCTGGATGGGACAGTGTTCCATGAGGGACAAACTCCACCTAGATGTGGACTAAGCCGCCCGAGTGAGGTGACTCCCTGGACAGATGCCAGAACTAGAACTCTGAAGCGCCGGTCTCGAACTAGTGTGTCCCCATGACGGGCCAGCAGCTAAATCATCCCCAAAGGGTATGCACGGTAGGAACGTCCAGGTAGGAACGTCCAGGCTCACTACCAATATTTATCCTGTGCCCCTGACTAGGAGGAGACATCCTGGACCTCTGCATGCGGACATTTCCAGTTAGGAATGACTGACAACCTGTATTCCCCTCAGACTAGGACTGTGTTTTGTGAGGAGCTAGTTTTGCTTTGTCTTGATTTTTTAAAGTTATAGGCCCTGATGGCTTTACCCGGAAAAGCACTGGTGATGAAAATGTTTTAATATGAACCAACTGGTGGCTCCAGATATTCTATCCATCCTGTTTTGTACGTGATTACTTTATCTCCTCCCTCAGAACAAAGAAACTCACAGAGACAAAAGTATTAGAAGAGTTTTCAGAACGATACAACAAGCTTTGCATTGAAAACCGAGAATAACGGTAAGAATTATAATATTTTCGGTATCGGTTTCTGGTACTCTAAAATCTTAGCTTGCACAGCTGCAGTCTGAAAGGAAGTGTGACAGGCATTTATACTTTTTCAAGGATGGCATTAGATGCTTGGTTTTGCTGTATTCGGGTGATGCCAACAAGTGTGACTGGAAAAGGAGACAAAACAACCCTCCTCTACCATAGCTGCCAGCTTTTGGCGAATTAGCTCCTAAAGGTGTATTATTCCCCTGGGTGGATCCACACAGATAGGAGCAGGCATTTTTGCCCACGATTCCTTGTCAAAAGGAGGTTTTTTTGTTTGTTTGGTTGGTTTTTTCAAAACAGGGTCTCTCTGTGTAGCTCTGGCTGTCCTAGAACTTGCTCTATTGTAGACCGGGCAGGCCTCAAACTCACTGAGATCTACCTGCCTCTGCCTCTGCCTCTGCCAGCCCAGTGCTGCTGGGAATAAAGACGTGTGCCACCACACCCAGCTCATCAAAAACAGGTTTTAGTAAGTGCAATCAAGAACTAAACAAGAAAGCCCGAGGGTCTGTGTGCCAGGCAGAAAGAGGCAATCTCTGTACCATGGGCACCTTCTAAGAATAAAAAGATATCAGGGTTTTGTTTGTTTGTTTGTTTTGTTGTTGTTGTTTATTTTCTATCCTTGGCTCTTGCCTGGTGTGTGCAGATGGCAGGGTGGCGTCTCTCCATTTGACACCCAAGCATTTTCTAAAGAGAAGGACAAATTATAGTCCAGTTGCCACAAGCACAAAGCCACCCTACTCAGTCACCTGCCGGTCAGTCTAGGAATGTGATGACCCATCCTTTAGAATTCTTTGGCTCACTTTGGTCCAGTAGCAATAAATAAAAAATTCATATTACCCCATCTGCTTGGTAGAAGCTGTAAGCCTCATTAAAGCAGTCAGCCCTGCAGGACTTTGCTATCGGCAGAGCACTGGGGCTCAGGGAGTTTGGAAGAATGCTCGTAGTTCTCCAAGGGCAGCCAGTGTTGAGAGACCCTGTGCAGCAGGGAAGGCCTCCTCCCAGCCCAGCTGATCTGTAATCAGAAGGATGCAGCCTATTTGCTAACAATCGCAAGAAACGCGACCTTTGCTTTTTCTCTCCCTCAGTTCAGTCACCTCAGGTCGGCTTCTACGGTGTGGTTTGGAATTTTTATTTGGTCTTGGCAGAAAGCTGAAAAAGACCTGTGAAATTCGGCTGCAGACTTCATAAGGGAACCTGCATACTGGTGAACACCAGAAACCTCTCTGCTTTGTGTCAGCCTTCAGAATAAACAAGTCCAGGACTGAGATGTCTCTGGTGGCCAGTGATGGAGGGCTTGCCTGGCGTGGATGGAGTTCTAGCCCCAGAACCACACAAACAAACAAGGCCCCCAGTCCTCACAAAAGCACTTATTCCCCCATAGTGTCTGCATTTTTGGTACATTCGCCCGAGTTCCACCACCTGACCAAAGGACATTAATAACCTGAAACATCTGGATCACTTTGAAAAATACTAACTGAATAGTTCCCAAATTTAAAATAAGTCATCAGCCATTCCTATAGCTCCTATGTCAAAGGGCACAAGAATGAACTGCACTGGGCTTCACGACAAGGACAGTCTGGGTCTAGGTAGGTGACAGGCAGGACTGGCAGGGAATGGTAGGGGAGGGTCTCCGGGGATGAAGGGCTCTATGTGTAACTCAGGAAAGAACCCTGAGAACACCATGCTGGGGCTCAGCCCAGGCAAAGCAACTCCTTCTTCCTCCCCAGGGCATGGCGCAGAACTCTGAGACATAGGCTAGACCCTTTCTTAAAAACATATAAACAACAACAACAACAACAAAAAAACCCTCCAAATAATTTTAGCGGAGGCTAGAGCTCAGCGGGAAAGTGCTTTGTGGTGTGTACAAGGTCCTGGGTCCAGTTCTCAGCACCAACAGTAATGACAAGGACGATGTCAGAATCGCCAGCAGAGGATCTGTGTGCACGCGCAAAGCCAGCTCGACCCCTAGGTTTCAGAAACAGCTCCCCAGTCACTCGCGGAGCAAAGCCAGGCTCTTCGTTTCTACCGTAAAAAGGACGACTCCCACGGATTACCCCACGTGACAAGGACCAAACAGCGTGTTACAAGATACACTCGACAGCTTTGAGAAAACACTCTGCGATTGACTTTCTCCCTGGCAACTATCCACCATGGAAACTCTCACTGGCAGCGAGCAGACTTTTCTACTTTTTAAGCAGTGTGTTTTTACTGCTCAGGGAGATGCCAAAGTAGACAGACAAACGAGGAAGGGGAGAGGCCCCCATGTAGCACCACCCTCCTAGACACCATGTGGCTTTTTCTCCTTAGAAACATTTATGTTACAGTTGCCTTTTTAATTATTCCAACAACTTTACACAAAACCTTTTGTAGCCACTTACATAAGGCGAAGTTATATCAAACTCCATTTGTCCTGTTAGTTTTTAATACACCCATTTTGGTAAATACTGTCCTAAAAAGAGGTACTAAGGTGTTGACAAAGACCCCTGCTTTCTAAACTAGGGGCTTGGAATTATTTTATAGCAAACACTATAGTACATATTTTTGACCTTAGATGGAAGAAAATAAAATTCCAGATCAATCTGTGGTATGTGACACTGGCGGCTGATTCCAGACATCAGGTGACAGGGACACATGCTGGCCCCAAGAGCACGTGTGCACTGGGTCAAACAGCCCCTTTTTTGGAGAGCGGAGGGTCTGAGACAGGGTTTCTCTGCATAACAGTCCTGGTTGTCCTGGAACTCACTCTGTGGACCAGGCTGGGCTCACTGAGATTCATTGGCCTACCTCTGCTTTCCAAGTGCTGGGATTAAAGGTTGGCACCTCCCCTCCGCTTCACCATGCCTTTTCAAATAAGTTTTCAGCCATTTATTTCAACTTACCTGCCCCCCCCCCCCCACCAAATAAAATAAAATAACACACAGAAGCACTGCCTCCTGATGCTGGGTTCCTCTGGTCTGGCTGTACAGGTGAGACGTTTTGCCTTTCAGCTGTCCTGTTTGTGTGACAATTGGCTTGGCAGCAGGGCCTGGATGACCTTCGGGTTTCTGCTTTCAGTGATAAGGTATCCAGTTAGAAGCAGATGCTCCAACTCCTTCACTGACTACCCAAACACGGAGCTGACCCGTGATTCCATTAGCATTAAGTGGCATACAACCAGTATAATTTGGGACGACTGTTAAAGCTTTCTTATTATGCAGTTTTTATATGATTGGTTTTGAGAGCTGCTATCAAAATGACTATGTACAGAGACAAAACCACACATGTGGATATATATATTAAATATTTTATAAGTTATACAATAAATAACACTAAAAATAATGTCAAATCGTGATTTCAACTTTGCCTTCCTCATTTTTAAATATAAATATATTTTTAAAAAACTGTGAATCTAGAGTTTACCCAATCTAGAGAATCTAGAGTTCTAGAGCATTCTCCGTGGAGTCTGCTGTCGGTCACTTGTCTTTTAAGCACACAATTCTCAGTAAACCTTGAAAGTCAATAAATAGAGCTCTTTTCTCTCAACTCAGTCTGTGAGGAATTCTGTAATGCACTGTAAAGGCTCCTCAATGCTCAAATATATTTCTCAAAAATAACAAATCTCATGACGTCTTGACCTTAAGAGAATAAAGGTGAGCGCTTCTTTAACTGGCCCTCTAATACTTCCACATAGAACACACCCCAGCCTCCACCCCACCACACCTGGGCAGTATATTTCAGGGTAGCAGTCTCCTGGTGTACGCACTGAGAAGTTTCAGAGTGGACACACAACTCTAGTAAAATCTGGAATACAATTCAAACATTTAAAAATATTTCCATAACAAATTAAGGATGCTGAGCTTTTTTGTTATTGTTGTTGTTTTTGAATTTGTTTACTGCTCAGGGAGATTCTTCCTGGAGAGATAAAGATATCCACGTACAACTCTAGAAGATCACCTGTGTTCTAGGCACTGGAAAAATGTATATCAGAGTGGAGTTTAATGTACTCTCCACAGGTCCTTAGTGATACTCTTGGGGGACATTAGCCCAAGCCCAGCGATCAATGCTCTGCTCCCCTGCCTTCCACAACACAACCAAAGCTCGTCACCCACTCTGGATTCTTGAGAATTAACTGAACTCCCTCAAGCAGACTCCCCCACGGGCTGACTTCAGAGGAGGCTGTCTCCTCTGTGTTTCTGGGCTACAGTAAGAATGACGTTCCATATCTTCATCCTGGGGACTGTAAAGCGCAGGAGCTACTTCCCTTCCCTGCAGACTGCCGGTTCCCCTTTGCTGTTTGTCTTCAGGGAAACAACCCTAGCAGCAGGGCCACCAGCTGCTGTCTCCCTGTGCCACCAGGAGTGTGTGAGCAAGGCCTCGCCCACTCTGTCTTCTTTCAGCCTACTGAGTCCCGCGTGACTGTGTCCTAGGAGCTAGGTCTGGTCCCTTTCTCTGACTTCCTGTAACCTTCTCTCCAGACGATCCAGCTTGGCTAGGTTTTCCTTCAGCAGCTTGCTGTCTGGGACGAGCTTCAGGGCTCTCTCATAATAGGCCCTGGCAGACACGTAGCTTCCCTGGAAGGTGAGGGGAAGAAAGAAAGACTGCTCAGCACCATCCTCTGAGGAGGAGAGAATCTCCTCTCCCCATCCCTCCCTTCCTCTGACTGCCAGTTAAGGTGCCCTAAGGAGACCTTATCTGTGGATACTTTTATCCTTATCTCGTGGGGCGCTTTATGGGAAGCCGTCTGTAAGAACCAGACCAGCTGGGGAATGTGGAGACAAATAGCTACACCACAAGTGTAAATGGCAGAAACACAGATTTCAGCTTTCTTAGCATGGACAAGGAGCATGCCAAGTTGTAGAGTTCTCAGGAGGTTAGCGCAGGTCTGTCGTTCTTTGTAAACAAGTAAGCTTGGGGTGAGGGGGTGGGGAGGGAGGGAGAGCAGTAATTAAACAGACATCCATTTTAGCTTCGTAGTGTTATGCCCAGATATGTTGAGTCCCCCCAAAACCAACAAGGAGACAGAGTCCCCCTATGTAAGAAAAAACAAAGAGCCTTATCCAAGTTCGAATCTGACTCTCCATGTGTCTAGTGCATTGGCTCAATTAGAGAGCCCCAGCTCAGTTGGGGTGGGGTTTTTTTAATAGCAGAAGTTGGGGTGAAGGATTTCTAAGGTTCAGGACCCCTGGCTGGCTGACATTTATCCAGGGGCGTCCTGGTGAAAAGCGATGGGTGTGTGCTGGCAGGTGATCCTGTCCACAATGGTTGGAATGTTGGGAATCTCCTTTGGGTGCTCTGTTCCTGGTGTCACAGCGGTGGTCTCAGATTGTGGTCTTTCTCAGAACAGGTATTGCCTCAGGGTAAACTACTGAGACTCACACCCACATTGAGTTTGTCATGGCTGGGCCCTACACTTAGTTTATTCTAATCTTCGACTTGAAACACAAAAGCAGCCTTTGCCCAAAGCAAGTTTTACACAATGAAAGACTTGATTAAAGAAGGACTTGGGGATGGAGAGACGGATCCATGGTTGGGGAGCGTTTACTCTTTCAGAGGACCCCAGAGTGGGGAGAGGGGACTGGTGACATCCACGGCACACATGATGGCTTACAACCGTCTCTAACTCCAGTTCAAAGGATCAAACACCCTCTTTTGACCTCTGTGAACACTGCATGCATTTGGTGTACATACACACATACATGCAGGCAAAAAAACTCATACACATAAAGTAAACAAATCTTTAAAAAAAATTAAAGATGGAATAAGGTTTATCTCGTAGCCAGGGTACATGGTGAAAAGTACCAGCCAGACACTCGTAGCGGCAGGAGGGGGGGGGGAGAAGTAAGGTGACCTCTGACCTGTTGAGCACACCTGCTCCCACTTCTGTCAACTCTCATCTGCTTACTAATATATGTGCCTGGGCCCAGACAGTCACAGACCACTGGTCACAGTCGGTGGCTTCTCCTAGTCCCTGCTCTACAGCCTGACGTACATCTTCTTCATCTGCTGCGGCCTTGCCAAGCTGAGCCCTGCAGAGCCCTAAGACCCAGACTGCTAAAGAGCTTCTGCTGTCTGTGTCCTCTGCTCACAAGGTCTGGGAACCTCACGAGACTTGCAGGACTCCTGAGGCCCCTCTCTGAAGCTACACAAACAGCGAAGAGTTTCTAGAGGTTGAGGAGGGAGACTTGGGTGGCTGAGACTCGTGTAAGTTGGGCAGGTAGCTCTGGAGACACAGTTGAGGTGGGCATCAGTGATGCAGGTGTTTCTGAGCCACACATACACTCCTGTGAGTGAAACAGAAACTCATCGATTCACCAGCTGGACTTAAGATTCTTTCCTTAGTCTGCCCTATTTGGGGCATAGATGTTTACACTGATCCCAGGAAGCGTAAGAATTCTTCCCATTCTAAAACAACAAATTGACTTTCCGTCATCTTCAGCTACAACTCTTATGTGGGTGGACACCAGAGGTGTTCTAAATTTCAATCACAATTTAAAACAACACTTCGAGCTAGCAGCTAATGCTTACCAAGGTGTAAGTATCTTCCTACATGTGTATGTGTGTGTCAAGAGCTGGATGCTGCCTGACAGGTGAGATCTCAGCAGGATGCTTGAGTGACCCCTATCAGTCTCTGACTCACTTTCTGGTTCTCGTGGTGTTTATGTGTGCAGCTGGTGTAACAGGGTGTGGAAATGATGAAAACGAAGGAGGAATTGTACAGTGAGAAGGTAGCGCGGGCTGTGTAGTAGACAGTTATATCTGACAGTCAATGCTGATGAAAAAGGCCAAACTGACTTGGAACAAGGAGCCCAGTTCTGCTGCATCACGGCTTTAAGTCCAGCATCCTCCCCCGAGCCTCTGATTTCTGTTGAGCTTGGTGTACATCTGGGCACTTGGATGTTTGTGGACCCAAGAGCTCGCAAGATGCTCTCACAGCGGGCCCTCAAGCTGTCTGTGGAGGCCTCGTCCTTAACCTTAGCATTGTCTCAGATCACTGGGTTTCCGCCATTTTGCACAAAATCTAGTTTTTCCTTTCTCCCCCAAATTGTTCTTTTCTTGATTAAACTGTTAACCCTGTTGTTTTTAAAGTTATATCCCTTAAGTCAATGACTCTAATTCTGTTAAGTAGAAACTAGAATGAGCTGATTTCCAGAACTGAATTTTAGTTAAGACCAAAATCCATCAGTCCTACCAGACACACTGCCTATGCCCAGTTGCCATGGCCGGTCACTGCTCCATGGACAGTGAAGACACAGAGCATGCTCAGCATCCCAGAGTGTTCACTAGACAACAGCATTCTGCAAAATATGGATGACTGCCATGAAACTGTGCTGAAATTACTTTGAAATTCGGCTTGGATGATGGTTTCCTAATCATCCTGCACTCTACAGACCTCTGCGTGTGCTCTGTGTGTGTCCACATGACGGGACCCCTCAGATCCCAGCACTCTACATGACCTCTGCATGTGCTCTGTGTGTGTCCACATGACGGGACCCCTCAGATCCCTGCACTCTGCATGACCTCTGCATATGCTGTGTGTATCCGCATGACGGGACCCCTCAGATCCCAGCACTCTACATGACCTCTGCATGGGCTCTGTGTGTATCCGCATGATGGGACCCCTCAGATCCCTGCACTCTACAGACCTCTGCGTGTGCTGTGTGTATCCGCATGACGGGACCCCTCAGATCCCTGCACTCTACAGACCTCTGCGTGTGCTGTGTGTATCCGCATGACGGGACCCCTCAGATCCCTGCACTCTACAGACCTCTGCGTGTGCTGTGTGTGTCCGCATCACGGGACCCCTCAGATCCCTGCACTCTACTGGAGCTGCTCTCACAGCCCATCAGCACCCTCTTTCCTTTCCTCTTCATATGCACTTCACAATCTGATATGTCTTAGGCATGTATATACACATGTGTACACTACATGTGTGCATATTGCCTGTCATCCCATACTGGAACACCGAACCCACCAGGACAGGAGTCTCTGTCTTGTCTGATCACTCTCACACACTCGACGTCTAGACATGCACCTGGCATACAGGATGCGTGCTCCACAGAGAGGTCGGGAAGATGTGTACATGCATGAATGAATCATGGCACATCTTTGACTTTATTGGCTATAAACAACACCCCCCACCCAGGGTCACTTTCAATCATTTTTGGCAGAAAGACTTAAGCCAAAGTCTTTAGGGGGTGGGGACCAAAGCAGACAAGTATGTTTTCTACTAAAAGGTTAGGGAATAAAAATGTTTTCAACACGGAGAAAAAAGGGGCAGGAGAGATGACTCAGCAGTGAAGGGTGGATAATGTTCTTACAGAAGACCACATTCCGTTCTCAGCACCCATGCTGGGCGTCTTACAAGGGTCCGTAAGGCCAGCTCTAGGGGACCCACCAACGCTCCCTTCTGGCTTTGGAGAGCATTGCACTAATGCGTATTAATTGCACTAATGTGTATAAACCCACACTCAGATACATACATAATGAAAACCAGGAAATAGTAAAGTGGTACTTAAATTAACAGTCTGGTATTGCGAGGAGTTGACAAGCTCCACAGGTCTCTGTGTCAGTGCACACAGACCTCAGCCACTGCTTGGTAACTGATGTGGGATCCCCTTCTGTAAATTGTCAATATGTTTTATTACCATTGGTTAATAAAGAAGCTGTTTTGGCCTATGACAGGGCAGAATATAGCCAGGAGGGAAGAGAGAGAGAGAGAGAGAGAGAGAGAGAGAGAGAGAGAGAGAAGGCCAAGTAGAGCAGATGCCATGTAGCTGCCGAAGGAGTAACATACTGTACCAGTAAGTCACAGTCTCATGACAATACACAGATTAATAGAAATGGGTTAATTTAAGATGTAAGAGTTAGTTAGGGATATGCCTAAGCTATTGGCTAAGCAGTATTGTAATTAATATAGTTTCTGTGTGATTATCAGGTCTGGGTGGTTGGGAAAGAAGGGGCCATCTCAATTTACTAATGGATTTCCTGCCTGGCTTTACTCTGTTAAGCCACTGTCTGAATCAGCTTTATTCATTAACCAATAAAAGCAGCACCTATAGAGATAGATATATATTCCACATCAGATAACCCTTCTTCCCACCTCTGATGTTCCTCACCATCAGCGGGATCACTGAGTCAGAGTTATAAACATTTAAACGGGTCTGTGATCCTTCGCTATGTGGAAAACACAGTGCTTCTGTATTTGACTTTCAGAATCCTATGTTTTAAGTGTCCAAATGGTTTCAAGGAATGGATGAACCGCAGCTTCTGAACCAGGGCGGGATGAGAAGAGTGAGCGGTGCTCCTACCTGGATGTGCCGGATGCCGCCCATGTTCATCCAGGCCTGTGCCTGGTCAGGATCCAGGGTCACGGCAGCTTCATAGCTCTGAGCAGAAAAGGCAAGCTTCATGTTAAGACACGCAACGCATCTAAGGTGCCACAGAACTGTGCCCATGGCTGCCACATGGAGACCCTGACCGCTAATGGCCACTCAGGAGGTGGCAAGTTTAGTCTGTCATGGTTTTAGAGTTGATGGTTCTGAAGTGGAGGGGCTGCAAACCCTCAGTGACAGCAGCTTACTGCCTAGACTCCCCCAGAGATGAGAGCTTATCGCCTAACTTACCACCTAGACTCCCTCAGTGACTACACTTACTGCCTAGACTCCCTCTGCAAACCCTCAGTGACTACACTTACTGCCTAGACTCCCTTACCGACTGCGGGATTCATTTAAACCTGTAAATGTAACGACAGTCTGGTTTGTCTTACCTCAAAAGCCCTGTCCAGAAGGTTCTGCTCTCTCAGCTGGTTTCCTTTTGTGAAGAAAAGTTCAGATATGACTTTTGGGTCCCTGGGCTTCAGCTGAAGAGCTCTGTCTATCGCCTCGAGTGCCTGCAGCAGTGGGAAGTGTAGGAATCCTAAGTTAGAACAGCGTTACACCCCGGCGCACGGCCTTCAACAAACTTTCTACACTCTCATTTTCTCACTGGAATTAATGACCCAGAAAGATCACCCCTTATGCCTCGGGTTCCCTATTCATAGATGAGCAAGAATGCAACGTCCTGATCACTTTTCAAGAAGGTTGCACAGTTGTAGTGAGGTCTGCCCTGGTCACATGTCAAGTGGACTACTGGCCCTTGGTGCCTGCCCCACCTCTGCACAAAGACATTGCTTAGAAGCACAATTCTGCTTTTCCGTTAAAACTCCAAAGTTTATCCTAGATCAGGACTAAACCCCATGCCCTTCCCCTAGGTGTGTGTGTGTGCACACGTGAGTGCGTGTGTGTGTGTGTGTGTGTGTGTGTGTGTGTGTGTGTGTGTGGAGAAGAGGGTGTGTGCCTGGTCATGTTGGCATCTTGAACTGCGTGTTCCCCCAACCTTTGTACCTCAGACCCACCCGCGTCTGCAGGGTCTTTGTGCTGTTCTCAGCTGCCCATTTTGTTTGCTGACTTCTTCCTCCCCTCACACCTCGCCATGTGCTGATTCTCAGTGGGACGCTTTGGTGCGGGAGAATTATCTGTATTCTGTCAATCATATTTTAATAAAACGCTGATTGGTCAGGCAGGCAGTATAGGCGGGTCAACCAGACAGGAAGTAGAGGCGGGGCAAAGAGAATAGAATAAGGTTATGGAGGAGGAAGGTCCCTCCGGCACTCCTGCGCAGATCACTGAAGAAGCAACATGTAAGCTGCCCCCGCTGGAAAAGGTACTGAGCCATTATGGCTAACATAGATGAGAATAATGGGTTAATATAAGTTATAAGAGTTAACAAGAAGCCTGACCTAATGAGCCAATCAGTTTATAACCTTATGGAGTCCTGTGTGTAATTTCTCTTTGGGATTTGCCGGCTGTTGGGGTACCGGGCGGGACGGAAACCCCAACAAGCCAGCCCTCATGTTACAACGCTTGGTGTCCCTCTTTCCCAACTCACCAATACATCTGTCTTGACCAATCTCTGCCTTTCTCTCTAAATAAGCTCCCTTGGGAACAGGGCAGCATTTTTCCCCATTCTCCCTTACGCCTAGAATCTACCATAGTGTCCAACACTTTTCAGGCATTTAACAAATATTTTCTTCAGCAGGGTATGAATTAAATGATTATGTGATTTTCAACATGCAGATAAAAAGTAACAGTTCTGGCAGTTCTGCCTCCCAGGGCTGTCCTGAGGATCGCATCAAACAGCAGACCTTGGAGAGCGAGAGGGCATGCAGGAGTGGGCATGCAGGGGCTAGGCATGCAGGGGTTGGTCATATAGGGACTGGGCATGCAGGGGCTGGGCATGCAGGGGTTGGGCATGCAGGGGCTGGGCATGCAGGGGCTGGGCATGCAGGGGCTGGGCATACAGGGCTGTGCTTGTAGGGGCTAGGTATGCAGGGCTGGGTATGCAGGGGCTGTGCTTCAGGGGCTGTGCTTGCAGGGGCTAGGCATGCAGGGCTGGGTATGCAGGGGTTGGGCATGCAGGGGCTAGGCATGCAGGGGTTGGGCATATAGGGGCTGGGCATG